CCTCCCCCTTAAGACCCCACAGAGGGGCTGCCAAGCCCACCCACCCACCCCCGGCTATCACAGCAGCCTTCTGACCTCAGCCAGCACCCCCACCCGAGGGGCAGCCACTCCCCAGGGAACAGGAAAAACCAAGAGGCGGTCACAGCAGGTACCCACGAGGAAAATACCGCAAACAACAAGCACTGTGATGTGAGTGACCAGATCATCTAGTTAAGATTGTGCTGTATGATGAATCAAAACCATTTCAAGTGTTAATCAAATATCAACACTCGGAATGGAACCAGTTCTATAAAACTAAAAAAATTAAATAATTAAGCTAAGAATTTATAAAGTAATAATATAAAATAATGATAATATTCCATTCAGCTCCACGTTCCTTTTCATTTAAAATACCATGGATTTTTTCCCTAGGATAAAGCGCAGGAAATAAAGAAGACGTTAAGCACTGGGTTGCTCCTAACAGAAATTGAACTGGGTCAAGAGGCTGACACTTTGCTACACAACAGGAAACCTCCTGAGGAAGACTGGGATGAAATGAGTTTATATCCGGGGGCTCGTTGAGTAGGATGGACTTCCCTTGTAATTCTGTAAAGTTTTACCGAGAGTAGGATGGACTTTTCCTTGTCATTTTGTAACGTTTGATTCATTATACAACATGCCCTAAATGATCCAGCCACTCACGGTCACAGTGTTCGTTGAGTGTTGTCTACTCCCCAGGGAATGGCGGCAGGTGCTGGAGACACTCCGGAGGGAGAACGGGGAGGTCTCCCGAGCTCCACAGCCCGGCAGGGCCCACCAACCTTGGCTGTTTGAAGGGGTTGTTATTGCTGCCGCCGCTCCGGCCAGCCACGCTGCTGGCGCCCACGCCGAAGGCCTTGGGGCGGTAGCCCCGGCTCTGCCCACCGGAGCTGACCCCGGGCGACGACTCCCTCCTCTGGCAGCCGCCCTCATGCAGGGCAGCCCCGTAGGGGGGAGAGACCGTCGGCATCTTGTCCCGGCGCAAGGATTTGGCACTGGTGGCGTCGATGCCGCTGTCGCTGGAGCCCCCTTTGGCCAGGGGATCTGGGTCGGCCTCGGCGGGGTCGGGGGGGTCGAACCACCGCTCGTCGCCGTGATGCAGGGCAGCCCCGTAGGGGGGAGAGACCGTCGGCATCTTGTCCCGGCGCAAGGATTTGGCACTGGTGGCGTCGATGCCGCTGTCGCTGGAGCCCCCTTTGGCCAGGGGATCTGGGTCGGCCTCGGCGGGGTCGGGGGTGTCGAACCACCGCTCGTCGCTGTGGCTGCTGGAGGCGTTGCTGGAGAGGGTGTTGCTGCTGGAGTGGCTGCTGGAGGACGGCCCCTCGCCCTGCGGAGGGGGGGGAAAGGGGGAGAGAGTAAGGCCGTCTGGGGCGGCGGCAGGGAGGCCCGGGGAGGGAGGGGCCTGGCTCATGGGGGGGCCCTCCGCGCCCTCGCTGGCCGTCAGCGCCCCCCCACTCACTTTGGAGTGTCGGTTGGGAGACTCCTTGCCTGCCGGCTCCTGCCTGCCCGTCCGCTTGCTCACGCTGCTCCCGGAAGCGGCGGATAGTCGGTTCTGCACCGGCACGTGCCACAGCGGCTCTGCGGGGATGCAGGAAGGTCCTGTGAGAAGAGCCTCGGCGCCACACAACTTGGCCCCGGCTGCCGCAGCCAAAAGAAGCCCCCTGGACACCCGCCCCCAGGGTCTCCCAGGTCGACTCCCGTGCAAGTGGGCACTCAAAACACCCCCATTCCTATCTGCCGGTGCCCAGGAACAAGCGACGGGAGGGGAGCCAGGGAGGAGACCGCCAGGTGCTCTCCTCCTCCCGAGCCAGAGGGCCGGTGGTGTTCCCTGGGCAGCACTCTGGACAGGCCGCTCCGGAGCCGAGAGAGGCTGGTGAGTGCTTTCGCCCCCGCAGGGAGCCAAACCGGGGAGGGGGCCCCTCTCTTTCCTTCCCCAGCTGAAGGCAGAAGGCAGGGAAAGGAGAATTCTTCCAGCTTGCCTGGCGGAGGAAGGGGGAAATGCCAGGACCAGGAGAGGCATGCTGGTGTGTGTGGGGGGAGACAAAACCCCCCGGTCTTGGCAAGTCACGGGGTTGGCTTCCAGTCCTGTTGCAGCTGGGGCTCGGTCACACTGGGAGGGGGGCCTTGTGGCAGCCTCGAGCAGCCTCTCTTCCTGGACTTGCGCTCACACACAGACCCTGGGCCCCCGAAACACCCCATGGGAAGAGCAGCTTTTGCGACAAGCCCCCCAACAGCAAGGTGGGGAGGAGCTGGCCCATGCCCGGCTCCCCTCGCCCTCACTGGCCCAGGCTTTGGCAAGGGGAGCATCTCCCCGAAAAGAGGGGGCCCCCCCCAAGGCTCCAAGGAGACGAGGCCCCCTCAGTCCAACGGCGAGAGCCACTCTGCCCAGCTCCCCCACCCCACCCCACCCTGGGGCCCCCGACTCCTTACCGGGCTTGGGCCTCTCCATGGTGCTCTCCTGGCTGGCCAGCCCCCCTGGGGAGGAGTCTCCGTTGGAGGTCACCTCATGGCCGTGCAGCGGGTCGAAGGGCGCCAGGGGCCGTGGGCAGGAGGTGGCGTATCTGTGCACCGAGCAGAGAGAGTTGCGGCAGCTCACGGGAGGCAGGCGAGACAGTGGGAAAGACACCGCCCAGCTTGCCTTCATTAGCAGATTTTAAAAATACCA